CTTGTGGACGGCCTTCCCAGAAGAGTTGAAGCTGTTATAGCTGCAAAGGGCGGGGCCAACTCAATATTGAACCCTGCGGACTAAGACTGGGGGGCCATTACAGGTCATGTGCGTGGAAAGGCAGGCGGCCCAATACTTTTGGCAATATAATGTATAACTATGACATAGATCAGGGGTCTCCAAACCTTTTATTCAAAGGGCCAATTTACTGTACCTCAGACTTTAGGGGGGCCGGATTAGGGCGAGCGAGGATAGAAAATGTCCTGGTCCCATCATCATTGAGAATAAACATGGCCTCAGGGTTGGTGGTCAGTAAAAGGAAGAACCCAATCAGTGGAAGAAATGGTGCACCATTGTTTGTGTTAGTGGGAGGAATAGTACCCCGAGGGCCGGTTAAAGACTGGTAAAGGGCCACATCCAGCCCCCGGACCACAGTTTAGAGACCTCTGACATAGCGTGTTCTGGCTTCTGTCTCATTCAAACAGACTGCTACTGGCCTGGGAAAGCATCAGATCTCACGGATCTTGGTTTGACCTGCTGCTTTGAAGGGCAGAGGAGAGAGCTGGGGTCTAATGGACTCCAGATCTCTCCATAAAGAGGACCTGTCACGGCTCCAGCTATCACAATGGATTTTTTTCATTCCTTGTCATAGCCATAAAAGTGATAAAATAAATAAAAGTAATTATTATTATTATACAGGATTTGTATAGTGCCAACAATTTGCACAGCGCTTTACAATATAAAGGGGAACAGCACAATTACAGTTCAGTACAGAAGGAATAGTGAGGGCCCGGCTCATGGAGCTTACAATCTAAAGGAAGGGGGAGATGATACAAAAGGTGATAGCTGTGGGGGATGATCTGGCGAAGGTGACCCAAGTACAGTTCTTAGGTGGAGGTGGGGTAGGCTTCCCTGAATAAGCGAGTTTCCAAAGATCGCCTAAAAGCAGACGGGGTGGGGGCTGACCGGACATACTGGGGTAGGGAGTATGAGAGGATGGGAGAGGCTCTGGAGAAGTCCTGGAAGCGAGCGTGGGAGGAGATAACAAGGGAGCTAGAGAGGAAGATATCTTGGGAGGAGCTGAAAGGATGGTTTGGGCGATATCTGCGAATGAGGTTGGTGATGTAAGGGGAGGTGGTACTAAAGGTGATAGCTGTGGGGGATGATCTGGTGGAGGTGACCCAAGTACAGTTCTTAGGTGGAGGTGGGGTAGGTTTCCCTGAATAAGTGAGTTTCCAAAGATCGCCTAAAAGCAGACAGTGCTTTCATTTCAGGGAAAATGGGCAATGTTGTGGATGACTTTGTAAGCTGTGGTTAGTATTTTGAATTTCATACGTTGGGTTGGCGGAAGCCATTGAAGGGAGGGGCAGAGAGGGGCAGCAGTCGCTGATCGGTTAGTAAGGTGTATGAGTCTAGCAGCAGCATTCATAATAGACTGAAGGGGGGATAGACTGTGTAACGGTGGACCAGTGAGGAGGGAGTTGCAGTAATCGAGGCGGGATATAACCAAGGCATGGGTAAGTTGTTTTGTGGTGTCATTGGTCAGGAAGGGGCGGATTTTGGAAATGTTGCGGAGGTTTGAGGCGATGGCTGGATGTGGGGCTCGAAGGAGAGGTCAGAGTCTAGGATTACGCCTAGCACCCTGGCATGAGGGAAGGACCAATGGCTGTACTGTTGATCTCAATGGTAAAGTCATGGGGAGGTGGAAATATTATGAACTCGGTTTTGAGTTTGAGGTAGTGATGTGACATCCATACTGATATGTCTCTAAGTAGATTTGTGATATGTGAGGAGATTGAGGGGGTGAGCTAGGGAGTGGAGAGATAGATCTGGGTGTCATCAGCATATAGAGGTGGTATTGGAAGCCATGGGAGGTTATCAGTTGGCCCAGGGAGGAAGTATAGAGAGAGAAAAGGAGAGGCCCAAGGACGGAGCTTTGGGGTACCCCAACAGACAGAGGATGGTGAGTTCTATGTGACGCTGAATGTGCGCTGAGAAAGGTAAGAGGAGAACCAGGAGAGAGCAGAGTCACGGAGGCCGATGGAGTGGAGTTTACTGAGGAGGAGTGAGTGGTCGACTGTGTCATAGGCAGCGGAAAGGTCAAGGAGTATGAGTATGGAGTAATGGCCGTTGGTTGGGATGAGTATGGAGTAATGGCCGTTGGTTGGGATGAGTATGGAGTAATGGCCGTTGGTTGGGATGAGTATGGAGTAATGGCCGTTGGTTGGGATGAGTATGGAGTAATGGCCGTTGGTTGGGATGAGTATGGAGTAATGGCCGTTGGTTGGGATGAGTATGGAGTAATGGCCGTTGGTTGGGATGAGTATGGAGTAATGGCCGTTGGTTGGGGATGAGTATGGAGTAATGGCCGTTGGTTGGCATGAGTATGGAGTAATGGCCGTTGGTTGGGATGAGTATGGAGTAATGGCCGTTGTTTTAGTTAGTAGGTCGTTAGTGAGGTTTAGTAGGGCAGTTTCTGTGGAATGTTGTGGGCGGAAGCCGGGCTGTTGGGGATGAAGAAGGTTGCTGTCGGTGAGGTAGCAACTCCTACGGTTGTGAACAAGGCGCTTGAGAAGCTTGGAGGCAAATGAAAGCAGGGAGATGGGTCTTATGTTATCCAAATAGGTGGGGTCCAGCGAGGGTTTTTTACATAAAGTATGGGAGTGACCAGTGCATGCTTGAGCGGGGAGGGAAAGGTACCCATGGAGAGTGTGAGGTTGAAGATGAGGGTTACAGAGTTTAGGATAGAGCAGGAAGGAGGCTGCAATAATCGTGAGGGGTCAGGATCCAGGGGACAGATGGTGAGGTGAGCCTTGGAAAGGAGTTTGGCAACTTCCTTGGTGGTAACGCGGCCAAAGGAGGAGAGTGTTGCGTTTGGTGTTGGGCCTGGCATGTTGGGTCGCACATGCATATGTAATCGGTGATCACACCAGTGTTTTAACAAGAGCAATCATTTTAGCACCAGACCTCTTGGGTATCTCTAAACTGATAAACTGTAAAGGCTTTAAAGTGTTGCCTAAATATCATAGTTTGTCACCAGTCCCTGAGCATACGCAATTTAATATCGCAAAATGTTTGGTATCTATGTTCTCGGGGTAACCACCTTTTACCGAACAATTGAGTATTTTATTGTGTTTTTGTGCATTAACATTAATTAAAGTGTATTTTTTTCTTTATATTGCATTTGAAAAACCGCTGTGCAAATACTGTGTGATATAAAAAATTGCAGCACCCACCATTTTATTCTCTAGGGCAGGCTTCTCAACCAGGGTTCCTCCAGAGGTTGCTAGGGGTTCCTTGAGCAATTTTTGTGCCTCTCAGATAAGTTACCACTGATACTTTTCACTATCTTTAAGTAGGGATGCACCAATATATCAGCGGCCGAAAATAGTGTTTTGGTGATAATGATGCCGATACATGTAAAGTCACGTCATATAGACTTTAATGCAAAAATGCCCCCATCGACTTTAACCACTTCTCGTCCGGCTGTTGTATATAAACGGCCGGACGGTGTCCGTTTATAAATGGCGCCCCCGCCCCCCTGCTTGTGTGCACTCCCTGGGAGCACGCAGCACCGCGATCCGGTGCCTGCTGTGTCCTCTGGACACAGTGGAACACCAGTCGTCGAATGGGTCCTCTGTGCGAGGTCCCGATCATGTGATCACTGGCCAATCAGTGATCACGTGCAGAGTAGTAAGCAAGATGTCACTTCTGACATCATTGCTTACTACGTGTGAAATCTGTGAATGATCACAGAGGTCACATGGTACAGGGATATTCACAACAGCCTTGTACCATGTGACAAGCTGTGACCAATCACAGCTCACACAGTATTTCTCAATGGCTGCAAGAATGCAGCCAGAGAGAAGGAGAAATGATTGCTTTTACAGCCTTTATGGGTGTAAAAGCAATCAGTGTAAAAAAAAAAAAAAAAAAAAAATCATTATCACCCCGCCCAACAAGTAGTACAGTGTCACCATGGTGACTTCCTTTGAACCCCTGAAGAAGCCAATGCGGCGAAACGCGTTGGTAATTACCATCATATCACCATCCCTGATTTATGCTGGTTATACTGGTGACCTATAGACCATGTATAGAAAGAAATGCTACAGTGAGCGCTCCAAACTGTCAGCAGCTGAACATTAAAGGAAAACACACATAAAATCCCAATATAAATACAGATCTATAAAATGCAGCGCTGTATAGTAGTAAGATCACACAAGGAATACAGTCCTGTATTGGTGCTCGTTGTTTTTCCAGTGCAAATGATAGAAATGCGCACTAACCAGAAGCGTATAGATAATACGCAGATATATAATTATCCTGAAGATTCCCCTCTTTCTGGCCAGAGTGTAGATTAGGAACTGGAAAATGTGAGGATGAAGCGCCCTCGTGTGGTAAAGATGAGATCCAACAGGCCAGAAGTGTCCTTGCAGAGATGCATGAAAAGATCCCCCTCTCTGAAGCTGGTATAAGGATCACACGGGGGCTGTAAAGGTTGAAAGGCTCTCTTCGTTCAGGATAATTATATATCTGCGTATTATCTATACGCTTCTGGTTAGTGCGCATTTCTATCATTTGCACTGGAAAAACAACGAGCACCAATACAGGACTGTATTCCTTGTGTGATCTTCTATTTGTAGTTTACTACTATACAGCGCTGCATTTTATATATCTGTACCTATAGACCATGGTCTGGTACTGTCCACATAGGGATAGTGTGATATGGGATTCGCTGTACTGAGGGGCTCATTCTCATATCTGATGTTATGGGAGGGTGTGTATGTCCCATTCTATTATGTGTAATAAAAACTTATATTTTATGAATTACAGTGTGTCTAAGTTGTTGTTTTCATCCTGAGAGTATTTAAGCACCTGTAAAGTCCTTCTCCCCTTTTTGTCGCTACTTGTATATGCTACGTTTGGACATGGTGCTGATGGATCTAACATACTAAGTGTGAAACTTTGTGATTCTTTTGCAGAGCGCGGTGGTGCTGTGTATGGATGTGGGTCTGGCGATGACGCACTCCCACCAGGGGGAGGAGACTCCGTTCGAGCAGGCCAAGAAAGTGATGACGCTGTTTGTGCAAAGACAGGTAACAAACCACCATCTGATGGGGATGCGGGCATTGGTAGATTAATTATTGGGGAAAGCCAGCTAATACCCTGCTGTGTAAACAAAAAAAAACTATATATATACAGTATTTCCCAGAAGTGAGTCCCCCCTCACATTTCTGTAAATATTTGATTCTCTCTTTTCATGTGACAACACTGAAGAAATGACACTTTGCTACAATGTGACGTAGTCAGTGTACAGCTTGTATAACATGTAAATTTGCCGTCCCCTCAAAATAACTCAACACACCGCCATTAATGTCTAAACCGCTGGCAACAAAAGTGAGTCCACCCCTAAGTGACAAGGTCCAAATTGGGCCCAAGGTGTCAATATTTTGTGTGGCCGCCATTATTTTCCAGCACTGCCTTAACCCTCTTGGGCATGGAGTTCACCAGAGCTTCACAGGTTGCCACTTGAGTCCTCTTCCACTCCTCCATGATGACATCACGGAGCTGGTGGGTGTTAGAGACCTTGCGCTCTCCACCTTCCGTCTTCCTCTCCTCCATGACGACATCACGGAGCTGGTGGGTGTTAGAGACCTTGCGCTCCTCCACCTTCCGTCTTCCTCTCCTCCATGACGACATCACGGAGCTGGTGGGTGTTAGAGACCTTGTGCTCCTCCACCTTCCGTTTGAGGATGCCCCATAGATGCTCAATAGGGTTTAGGTCTGGAGACATGCTTGGCCAGTCCATCACCTTTACCCTCAGCTTCTTTAGTAAGGCAGTGGTTGTCTTGGAGGTGTGTTTGGGGTCGTTATCATGTTGGAATACTGTCCTGCGGCCCAGTCTCCGAAGGGAGGGGATCATGCTCTGCTTCAGTATGTCACAGTACATGTTGGCATTCATTCATATTATTATTTTATTATTATTATTATTATACAGTGTTTATAAAGCGCCAATGGTTTGCTCAGCGCTGTACATTACAAAGGGGGACAGAACATGTGACAGAACAATACCAATACAATGCAAAATATGAGGGGATCGAGGGCCCTGCTCTTTCGAGCTTACAGTCTAGGAGGGAGGGGATGGTGGTACAGGAGGAGATAGCTGTGGGGGATGGGGTTGTAGGAAGAGTGGAGGAGGTCGGCAGGTTAGCAGGGGGTGGGGTAGGCCTCCCTGAAGAGATGGGTTTTCAGGGTGCGCCTAAAGGAGAGTAGAGTAGGTGATAATCTGATGGGTTGGGGCAGGGAGTTCCAGAGGATGGGTGACACCCTGGAGAAGTCCTGGAGGCGGGCATGGGAGGAGGAGACCAGGGAACTAGAGAGAAGGAGGTCTTGTGAGGAGCGGAGTGTGCGTGTTGGGTGCGGTACTTGGATATTAGGTCAGTGATGTAGTTCGGGGCAGTATGGTGGACAGCTTTGTACGTCAGTGTTAGGATTTTGAATTTGATCCGTTGTGCAATCGGAAGCCAGTGGAGGAATTGGCAGAGGGGGGTGGTGGAGATGGAGCGATTGGAAAGGTGAATGAGTCTGGCAGCCGTATTCAGGATGGACTGAAGCGGGGATAGCCTGTGGCGAGGCAGGCCAGTGAGGAGGGAGTTGCAGTAGTCGAGTCGTGATATGATGAGGGAGTGGATGAGCTGTTTAGTGGTTTCTGGGGTTAGGAACGTGCGGATTTTGGCGATGTTGCGGAGGTGGAGTCTGCATGAGTTTGTTAAAGATTGAACTTTAACAGAGAGGGGGAGTGAGGGGGAGGTGGTAGCATTATAGGTAACGCTGAAAGAGTGTTGTGACAGGTAGGATGAGAGCCAGGAGAGAGCAGAATCTCTGAGGCCGAGGGAGTGTAGTTTTTTGTGGAGGAGGGGGTGGTCGACTGTGTCGAAGGCGCAGAGAGGTCAAGGAGTAGGAGCACTGAGTAGTGGCCATTAGCTTTGGCGGTTAGTAGGTCGTTGGTGAGTTTGAGTAAGGCGGTTTCGGTGGAGTGTAGGGGACGGAAGCTGGACTGTAGGGGATGGAGGAGGTTGTTGTCGTTGAGGTGAGAGCATAGGCGGGTGTAGACGAGGCACTCGAGGAGTTTAGATGTAAAGGGGAGCAGGGAGATGGGTCTGAGGTTGTTCGGGTCATTGGGGTCCAGGGAGGGCTTTTTAAGTATGGGGGTGATGTGTGCATGTTTCAGAGGGGAGGGGAAAGTGCCTGAGGAGAGAGAGAGATTGAAGACGTGGGTGAGGGAGCGTAGGATGGAGGTGGAGGGAGGTCGTAGGAGTTGTGAGGGGATAGGGTCGAGGGGGCAGGTGGTGAGGCGGGGCATCAGAGAGGATCTTGGAGACTTCCTCGGTAGTAAGGTCAAAGGTGCGGAGTGTTGGGGGGGGGCTTCAGTATGGGGAATGTAGGGTGGGGTGGAAGTGGAGGTCAGAGCAGTGGTGGGGCCGTGGGAGAGGGGTGATGAGGGGGGTAGCTGAGTGAGGGGGAACAGGGTTGGAGGGAGTTTGAGCAGCGCCGAAGTCCCTGCGGGTTATGTCGAGGGGGAGGGGGGATGAGGGGGTAGCTGTGTGAGAGGGGACAGGTTGAGGGGCGTGTGAGTTGCGGCAATGTCCTTGCGAATTGTGTCAATCTTGTTTTTGAAGTGATTGGCAATCTCAAGGGCAATGAGTGAGGTGCTGGGTGGAGGTGGGGGTGGCGAGAGTAGAGAGTTGAAGGTGGAGAAGAGTCGGCGAGGATTGGAGGAGAGGGCCTTGATGAGGGTCAGAAAGTAGGCTTGTTTGTCATTGCATTATGCTGTCTGAATAGTTTAGCTTTTTACTTACTTTTTATTCATATTTGTGTTCAGCATGGCAGACCTGTGTTTGTTTCCCGGTAGGTGTTTGCGGAGGGTAAAGATGAGATTGCGGTGGTTCTTTTTGGCACGGATGATACAGAGAACCCGCTGGCAGATGGAGATCAGTATCAGAACATCTCAGTCCAGAGACATCTCATGCTGCCCGACTTCCAGCTGCTAGAGGAGATTCAGAATGTCATCCAGCCTGGTGATCAGCAAGCTGACTGTATCCTTCCGGGGGGCTGTGAGGGGCTGAGGGCAGATTTATGAAGTTCATATGACATGGCTGTGTGCTATTGAGCCCTGTGGAGATCAGACCTTTTTTTAAAGAGGAGCTCCAGTATATTTTAGGGAATAGTAGAACCCCCCCCCCCTTCCCCCCCTATACTCACATGAGTCCTCCCTCGATCCAGTGCTGTGCCCATGTGTAGTGGCTCTCACTTTCTTGTCTCGCAGGCTTTGCTGAGGCAGCGGGAGCTATTGGTTCCTGCTGCTGCCCATTCTGTAACAAGGGACCAGGGGGCGGGGTCAAGCCATGATGTGTGTGACTATGGATGCAGGCAGCGTGGCTTGAGTGCAATCATGCGTCTTGCTATAGGGGCACACTTAGAAGAGGAGGAGCCAGGAGCGCGAGCAGGGAACCTGACAAGACAAAGTTTGGGGCCGTTCTGTGCAATTCCTTTACACAAAGCAGGTAAGTATAAACCTGTTATTGAAAAAAATGTATACATTCACTTGAAGTGCATTGTGGGCAGTCTACGGTCTGCAGTGCATGCATGGGGCCAATCTGAGGTCTGGATTGTATGCACTGGGGCCAATCTGAGGTCTGGATTGTATGCACTGGGAACAGTCTAAGGTCTGCAGTGCAGGCACTGAGGCCAATGTGAGGTCTGCAGTGCAGGCATTGGGGTCAATGTGAGGTCTGCAGTGCAGGCATTGGGGTCAATGTGAGGTCTGGAGTGCATGCATTGGGGCCAATTTGAGGTCTGCAGTGCAGGCATTGGGGTCAATCTGAGGTCTGCAGTGCAGGCATTGGGGTCAATCTGAGGTCTGCAGTGCAGGCATTGGGGTCAATCTGAGGTCTGCAGTGCAGGCATTGGGGTCAATCTGAGGTCTGCAGTGCATGCATTGGGGCCAATGTGAGGTCTGCAGTGCAGGCATTGGGGGGGTCAATCTGAGGTCTGCAGTGCAGGCATTGGGGTCAATCTGAGGTCTGCAGTGCAGGCATTGGGGGCCAATCTGAGGTCTGCAGTGCAGGCATTGGGGTCAATCTGAGGTCTGCAGTGCATGCATTGGGGGCCAATGTGAGGTCTGCAGTGCATGCATTGGGGTCAATGTGAGGTCTGCAGTGCAGGCATTGGGGTCAATCTGAGGTCTGCAGTGCAGGCATTGGGGTCAATCTGAGGTCTGCAGTGCATGCATTGGGGCCAATCTGAGGTCTGCAGTGCAGGCATTGGGGTCAATCTGAGGTCTGCAGTGCATGCATTGGGGCCAATCTGAGGTCTGCAGTGCAGGCATTGGGGTCAATCTGAGGTCTGCAGTGCAGGCATTGGGGTCAATCTGAGGTCTGCAGTGCAGGCATTGGGGTCAATCTGAGGTCTGCAGTGCAGGCATTGGGGTCAATCTGAGGTCTGCAGTGCAGGCATTGGGGTCAATCTGAGGTCTGCAGTGCAGGCATTGGGGTCAATCTGAGGTCTGCAGTGCAGGCATTGGGGCCAATCTGAGGTCTGGAGTGTATGCATTGGGGCCAATCTGAGGTCTGGAGTGCATGCATTGGGGCCATTCTGAGGTCTGGAGTGCATGCATTGGGGCCAATCTGAGGTCTGGAGTGCATGCATTGGGGTCAATCTGAGGTCTGCAGTCCATGCATTGGGGCCAATGGAGGTCTGCAATACAGGCTTTAGGGCCAGTCTAAGGTCTGGAGTGCTGCATTGGGGCCAATCTGAGGTCTGGAGTCCATGCATTGGGGCCAATCTGAGGTCAGCAATACATTCTTTAGGGCCAGTCTAAGGTCTGGAGTACATGCATTGGGGCCAATCCTCAGATCAGGAGTACATGCATTGGGGCTTTCCTCAGATCAGGAGTGCATGCATTGGAGCTTTCCTCAGATCAGGAGTGCATGCATTGGGGCCAATCTGAGGTCTGGAGTGCATGCATTGGGGCCAATCTGAGGTCTGGAGTACATGCATTGGGTCTTTCCTCAGATCAGGAGTGCATGCATTGGGGCCAGGAGAGAGAGAGAGAAAATATATGTATATATATATATGAATGTTCTTACGATTTTATCTCGGCCTGTTCAGCTGCGACTGACTAGATTAGATCCATCCACAGGCAGGCTGATTGTATCCATCGATCGACTTGCGTACAACCAGTCTGTCGGATTTTTAGCATTTGATTACTGTCACTGGTGATAATCCGTGTATTCTGCCAGCTGGGAAAGCTCCCCGTAACCCCCCCCCCCCCCCCCCCCGGCAGAATACATTAGTGCTGTTGATGGGTGAATCGAGCGATTTCCTTTCCTACCAGCTGTGGTGGAAAGAAATAGAAAATCGATTCATCTATTGCTGCAATGTGGAAAAGGTTGCTGACCCCAGATCTACGGCTACAAGAAAGGGAGTGAATTTGGTTTTGTTTTTTTGCCTTTTTGCCTTTTCGGGGTATCTCCACCAGTGAGATCATGTCACACTCAAACCCCAGAGATCCACTGCTGGACATATTCCTGGTGGCTCCTTCTGACCCCATCAGTGTCACCCTCGACCCCCGGGTCTGGAGACGACTCTGTGGGGTCACTTCCTTGCTGGCGGTGACAGCCAAGACTGCTGGAAATCATTCATTTCTAAACAAATAATCTTTAACTTGTCAGTCCTCGACGCTCTGATCGTCTCCATGGACATTCTGCAGAAGGAGACTCTGTAAGTGACCGGTGCTGGGCGTATGGAAGAGGGTTGCTATGCGCAGAACGCTTTGTCGTGACTTCATAGAGCGGAGATGGATTAGAACCCAACTCTCTGTTTGTCCTGTTTTCCATAATCATTGAGTGTGAAAGCAAAAGAAAATCTCACATTCGGGTCGTCCCCAGAACAGTGGAAATCTTCCAATGGGGACACTAGTCTTGGTGACACCCACTTTGGAGGGATTTCCTCTCACTTCCTGTTTTGGCTGACACAGGAAGTGAAGGGAAAGTCTACTCAATAGGACACAGATGGCAATCAAATAACTAACCGGGGTTATAACCTTCCCTTACTCCTGAAAGAAAAAAAAAAGTTTTTTTTTTCTTGAGTTCTACTTTAAATCCGTTCGATTTTACCCCCCTTCGTGACTGTTCGGAACTGCGCTACTTTAACTGGCGACTTGTAAAAAAGTCATATACATTTCATTTGGGTACAGCGCTGTATAAGTGCACAATCGCCAGTTAAAGTAGCGCAGTTCCGAACAGCCAAAAAAATGGCCTGGTCGTGAAGGGAAAAAAAACTTTTCAAGAAAAAAAACTTTTCTTCTTTCAGAATTAAATCTTTGTACAAAAAAAAATTATATACATTTCATTTGGGTACAGCGCTGCATAACTGCACAATCGCCAGTTAAAGTAGCGCAGTTCTGAATAGCAAAAAAAAAAAAAATGGCCTAGTCATGAAGGGAGTAAAATCTTCCAGATTTAAAGTAGAACTCAAGAAAAAAGCTTTTTTTCTTCTTTCAGAATAAACTCTTTGTAAAAAAAAAAAAAAAAATCGTATACATTTAATTTGGGTACAGCACTGCATAACTGCTCAATCGCCAGTTAAAGTAGCGCAGTTCCGAACAGCCAAAAAAAATGGCCTGGTCGTGAAGGGAGTAAAATCTTCCGGATTTAAAGTAAAACTCAAGAAAAAAACTTTTTTTCTTCTTTCAGAATTAAATCTTTGTAAAAAAAAAAATGTACACATTTCATTTGGGTACAGCGCTGCATAACTGCACAATCGGCATTTAAAGTAGCGCAGTGCCGAATAGCAAAAAAAAAATGGCCTGGTCATGAAGGAAGTAAAATTTCTGGATTTAAAGTAGAACTGAAGAAAAAAAACTTTTTTTCTTCTTTCAGAATAAACTCTTTGTAAAAAAATATCATATACATTTCATTTGGGTACAGCACTGCATAACTGCACAATCGCATTTAAAGTAGCGCAGTGCCGAATAGCAAAAAAAAATGGCCTGGTCATGAAGGGGGTAAAATCTTCCGGATTTAAAGTAGAACGAACTCAAGAACTCAGGATAAAGCAGTTAAAACCCATGATTTAATTCTGAAAGAAGAAAAAAAGTTTTTTTCTTTCAGAATAAACTCTTTGTAACTGGCGATTGTAAAAAAAAAAATCATATACATTTCAGTTTTGGGTACGCCTGGTCGTGAAGGGGGTACTGGATTTTGTATGTTTTTTCCTACACAAGGCTTGTACCTGGACTGGGCTACCAAACTATGGCCAAGCAGCTTGGTGAGAAGGTGACAACAGTTGGTGCAATCATTCACAAATGGAAGAAACACAAAACAAGTGTCAGTCTCCCTAGGTCTGGTGCACCATGCAAGATCTCACCTCGTGGAGTGTCAATGATCATGAGAACAGTGAGGAGTCATCCCAGAACTACACGTGAGGATCTTGTCAATGATCTCCAGGCAGCTGGGACCACAGTCACCAAGAAAACAATTGGTAACACACTACGCCGACAAGGACTGAAATCCTGCAGTGCCCGCAAGGTCCCTCTGCTCAGGAAAGCACATGTCCAGGCCGTCTGAAGTTTGCCACTGAACATCTGAATGATGCAGAGGAGGACGGGTGGGAAGTGTTGTGGTCAGATGAGACCAAAATCCAGCTCTTTGGCATCAACTCAGCTCGCCGTGTTTGGAGGAGGAGGAATGCTGCCTATGACCCCAAGAACACCATCCCAACTGTGAAACATGGTGGTGGAAACATTCTGCTTTGGGGGTGTTTTTCTGCTAAGGGGACAGGACAACTGCACCGCATCAAAGGGACGATGGACGGGGCAATGTACCGTCAAATCTTGGGTGAGAACCTTCTTCCCTCAGCCAGGGCATTGAAAATGGGTGGTGGATGGGTGTTCCAGCATGACAGTGACCCAAAACACATGGCCAAGGCAACAAAGGAGCGGCTCAAGAAGAAGCACATTAAGGTCCTGGAGCGGCCCAGCCAGTCTCCAGACCTTAATTCGACTGAAAATCTGTGGAGGGAGCTGAAAGTTCGAGTTGCCAAACGTCGGCCAACAAACCTTAATGACTTGGAGAGGATCTGCCAAGAGGAGTGGGCCAAAATCCCTCCTGAGATGTGTGCGAACCTGGGGGCCAACTCCAGGAAACGTCTGACCTCTGTGATTGCCAACAAGGGATTTGCCACCAAGTACTAAGTCATGTTTTGTGAAGGGGATCACATTTTTATTTCCCTCATGAACATGCAGATCAGTCATCATTTGTTAGACGCATTTCTGCTGAATTTGTTGTTGTATTCTGTCTCTCAGTGTTACAATACACCAAACATTCGATTTTTAGACCGATCATTCCTTTGTGAGGGGCGAACATTCAGAATCAGCAGGGGAGCAAATATGCATTTCCTTCACTGTATGTGTAAAGTGTGCTGCTTTTTATTAGTAGATCTCTTGGTTTCTTAGCCCTGCTTTGCAGGGATGAGAAACTGAAAGGCTTCACTGAGCAAAAAAGTTTTGGTTGAGATTATCTATGACGGAGAATGCTCTCCCTGTTGATAATGTTATCATCAATTGTGGTTCTTCCTTGTTGTGTCTAATTATTTATGTTCTCTTAGAGGAAAGAAATATGAGAAACTTCACATCGCAGTGTTCACAGACCTGAGCAGCCCCTTCAGTGAGGATCAGCTGGAGATCATCATCGCCAACCTGAAGAAAGCCGGCATCAGCCTGCAGTTCTTGTAAGTGGCAGCTGTGCTTTTAACTGGCATCTCTGGTCCCTTTGTACCCAACATTCAGCCCGAGGGCCACATGCTGCTCTTTAGTGCTTGGTGTGTGGCTCTTGGATTTTTTTTTTTTTTTTTAAAAGGGGTGAGATTACTAGATTGTAAGCTCCGAGGATCAGGGCCCTCCTATATATTGAACTGTATTGTTGTTGTATTGTCTTCCATTATATTGTAAAGTGCTGAGCAAACTGTTGGCACCATATAAATCCTGTATAATAATAATATATAAATCCTGTATAATAATAATATATAAATCCTGTATAATAATAATAATAATATAAATCCTGTATAATAATAATAATATATAAATCCTGTATAATAATAATATATAAATCCTGTATAATAATAATAATATATAAATCCTGTATAATAATAATAATATATAAATCCTGTATAATAATAATATATAAATCCTGTATAATAATAATAATATATAAATCCTGTATAATAATAATAATATATATATCCTGTATAATAATAATATATAATCCTGTATAATAATATAATATAATCCTGTATAATAATAATAATATATAAATCCTGTATAATAATAATATATAAATCCTGTATTATAATAATAATAATAATATATAAATCCTGTATTATAATAACATATAAATCCTGTATTATAATAATATATAAATCCTGTATAATAATAATAATATATATCCTGTATAATAATAATATAATATCCTGTATAATAATAATATATATCCTGTATAATAATAATATAAATCCTGTATAATAATAATAATATATAAATACTGTATAATAATAATAATATATAAATCCTGTATAATAATAATAATATATAAATCCTGTATAATAATAATATATATATATCCTGTGTATAATAATAATATATAAATCCTGTATAATAATAATATATAAATCCTGTATAATAATATATAAATCCTGTATAATAATATATAAATCCTGTATAATAATAATAATATATAAATCCTGTATAATAATAATAATATATATCCTGTATAATAATAATATATAAATCCTGTATAATAATAATAATATATAAATACTGTATAATAATAATATATAAATCCTGTATAATAATAATAATAAATCCTGTATATAATAATAATATATATCCTGTATAATAAATATATAATCCTGTATAATAATAATAATATATATAAATCCTGTAATAATAATATATAAATCCTGTATAATAATAATAATATATAAATCCTGTATAATAATAATATATAAATCCTGTATAATAATATATAAATCCTGTATAATAATAATAATATATAAATCCTGTATAATAATATATAAATCCTGTATAATAATAATAATAATAATATTATTAATAATATATAAATCCTGTATAATAATAATATATAAATCCTGTATAATAATAATAATATATAAAATAATATATAAATCCTGTATAATATAATAATAATAATAAAATCTGTATAATAATATATAAATCCTGTATAATAATATATAAATCCTGTATAATAATAATATAATAATTAGTGTCCTCCACTATCTTCCTGTGAAATGTCCTCAGTCTCTCACTCTTCTGTCTCTGGACTTCCAACTAATAGGTGTAGCATGTCTCCTGTAGTAGATATGGTAGTAAAACTGAGACCTTGAGCCACCTCTGGAGTGGGACCATGTCCACGGGAAGTTCCTACGAAGAGTTTTCGGGATGTGTCCAGTGCAGGGAGTGTAAATATAAAAAAAGCTATAAACAAAAAAAAAAAAAGTATACAATCCTCTTTTTACTTACAGTTCTCTATAAGACAAAAGTATTCTCTTTAGCGTGGGTTTAGTTTTTTCTTTATTAAAGAGGATTTTCAGTCCCCCTCAAAAAAAAAAAATTAAAAGTCAACAGCTACAGTACTGTGGCTGCTGACTTTTAATAAAAGGACAATTACCTGTCCAGGGATCCAGTGCTGTCCTCGCCTGAGCCGGTTGTTCAGGGTCCCCGGGTGTCAGCGTGTTTACTTTGGGAAGCTAGATGCAGGCAAAGAGAGGGGGGCCTGGACTTCCGCTCGGATTGCTATGCGATCCAGATTTAGTGGGAGCAGGTACCTACTAAAAACTAGGTACCCGCTCCCCAAAAATAAAAATGTGTCCAAAAGTTGGGGGGGGGGGGGGGGGGTTAGGGCGAGAGGAGGTGAAAAAGCGGACCTTCCCCTTTTGGGTGAAGTTCCTCTTTAATGACTTTCTATGTCAGTCTTCAGCAAGCTACGATTATCTGAAATATCTATAGCTATATCAGCACCTGGCCACACCTAGTCCCACCTACTGCTTTCTGGATGGACAGCATTGCCTCTCTTGCTGAAACCCCTCCCACTGATCTGCAGCGTCTAGAAGGGGGAGCGCGTGAGACACAAAGGAAAGAGGATTGGCTTGTTTACCCACATGAAAGGAAAATATATTTTAAACATATTCATATATATTTACACTGTATGTTGAAATGCTTTTTTTTATATATTTCAAAATATATGAAAAATATTTTTAAAAATACATTTTCAAAAATACTGTATATCTTTAAAAATACATTTAATCTACATTTTTGGAATGCATTTACAAATATATTTTTGTAATATATAAAAAAACGCGTTTCAACATACAGTGTGTGTGTATGTGTGTGTATATGTGTGTATATATATATATATATATATATATATTATATATATATATATATATATATGTATATATATAATATATATATATATATATATATATATATATATATATATATATATATATATATAATCTATCAGGGTGGATTTGATTTAAATCAAATTGATTTAAATCACGATTTAAATCACTAGTCAGTAAGGCTTGATTTAAATCCTAGTTTTCTACATAAAGACTAATTCTTGCTGGTATAACTTTAATATGCAAGTAGATGAAGATTTTTAGAATAACAACTTTTCATATTAGTTTTTTTATCCCCAGTTTAATAGGTTAATCATTCATATTTGGACAACTTTTCTGTTGTACTTAGGAAGGAGAAAAATTATCATTACCTTAATAATAACAATTTAAATAGATTTATTCAACTGAAACAATAACATTCCAGCATATGTGATTTGCTTAAACATCCATGTTTGTTAACTAATTTAGCTAAACAAAATATATATATTTTAAGAAACTTAGACGGTCAGCCCCTTCCTCCTCACACTGTCAGCCCCTTCCTCCTCCTCACACTGTCGGCCCCTTCCTCCTCACACTGTCGGCCCCTTCCTCCTCACACTGTCGGCCCCTTCCTCCTCACACTGTCGGCCCCTTCCTCCTCACACTGTCACACTGTCGGCCCCTTCCTCCTCACACTGTCAGCCCCTTCCTCCTCACACTTTGTTTCACTTTCTTCTTGTGCAGATCTATTCCACTCCAAACAATCAGAAAAAATATTGTTTCTATTCACTGAACTTCTTGAAACTTCGCACTGAAGGGGTTAATTCTGTATTCATAGGTTTGTAGAAGTTAGGATGAAGGTCTTTTTCTGAACTCTGTTCATGTTATAACATTTTTTGCTGTGAAGAAGAGGCATGTGATCTCCGCTGAGTCAAATTCAGTTTTGAGAACTGCAAAAGTAAACCAATCATCTGTGATAATATCTTGTAGGCAGAAAAACTGCCCAATAATCTTGACATTGTGAATGGATTCATGGAATTTATTTACCAAAAAAATTAAACATATACAGCCTTATTCTACATAATTAAAAAAAAAACTAATCTTTATTTCATGATGGAATAACCTTTGGATGGTAATATATTTTCCTCAAAAAGCATTTTATTTAAAAAAATCTGATTTAAATAAAAAAAAAATTCTGATTTTTAAAAAAAAAAAAATCATTGATTTTTATCCACCCTGATAGATATAGATAGATAATATATATATATATATATATATATATATATATATATATATATACACACACACACACACACACACACACATATATATACACACATATATATTTTGATGAATATTTTGAAATACATTGAATATGGTCAAAATTGTAGTATTTTGAATGTATGACAATATATTTGGGAAGAACAATTTTAATGTATATTTAAAATATATCTTTCTTCCATGTGGGTAGGGAAGGTTTTTTTTTCGTACTTTATGAGTCTTGTCCTTCACATAGTAACTGGATTCGGGAAATGTATAGGCTATCTAGCAGGAGCCCTTGATCTTGGAAATATCCCCCCCCCCATTTCCCACTCCAACTGCTCTAGAAAAAGAAGACTACTAACCTCAGTTTGCAGTAAAACTCCAGATTGAAGCAAAGGGGGTGGGGTTTAGCAATAAGACAGAATAAAAGAGGGCGCACTCTCCTCGTGCATTACCGTGATAAAAGAAGAATTTATTGTGATAAAAACAAACGATACTCTCACTAACCCCTTAACTTCATTGCCTAATTTATGTACAGTGTTGAATGACTTTGCTAAAGTGTCAGGTCTTACTGTTAATTTTACCAAATCGGTGATTATGCCTGTTAATATTCCTGATTCCCTAAGTGCATCTCTCTGTAGTTCTTTTCCATTTCGTTGGGCCACGGATTGGATTTTCTATTTAGGTATCAATCTCACTCCCAGATACTCAGATATTTTTGCTGCGAATTACCCACCATGTGTGTCGCACCTTTCTACTCTACTGAAGGTTTGGCATGGTTACCCCATTTCCTTTCTGGGTAGAGTCACGGCGGTCAAGATGAATATTTTGCCCAAACTACTTTATCTATTTAGAGCACTTCCAGTCCCGGTCTCGAAAACATTTCTGGATCACTTTCAGCAGGCTATTAATTGTATCTGGTGTAATAAACATCCACGCTTTACCACATCTGTTCTGTACCGCTCACAACGGACGGGAGGTTTAGGTCTTCCCAATTTTTGGCTATATTACTTCTCAGCCCGTTTTGCACAATTATCACAATGGGCGACTGTAAATTCTCAGATCCCGTGGATTAGATTTGAATCTCAGTCTATACGCCCATTTTATTTACCGGGTATTTTGTGGTCCAAAATCCCCCCTTGATCGTTCACTTTTCACAACTCTATAGTTACCCATTCACTGACACTTTGGTCCAAATATACACTTAAATTAAATCTGGTCTCTTCTGTTTCTCCGGGTGTTTTGTTTTTTTTGGTGATCCAAACTTTATTACGGCATTTTCTTCTCCTCAAACGTTTCGTTGGTGGTATGACAGATCTCTTATTAGATTATCTGATTTTCAAAGAGGAGGATCTTATATTACTTTTGATATGCTGCGAGTACTTTTTGAGGTTCCGCTTGCGAGTACCATCGTTATCAACAGATTAGACATTTTTTTCAGTCACGTTTTGGCCTCATACCCTCCTCTCCGATCTCATTCTTTGAACGTATTAGCTGTGACTCTCCTAGGGGTAGGGGTCTTATCTCAGATCTTTATCATCAATTTTTGATCAGTTTCTCTCCCACACCCCCTTTATATAGACAAAGATGGGAGGAGGATAGTGGTATCACTTTCTCAGATGAGGAGTGGGATTCCATGGTGGATAACATACAGTGGGGCAAAAAAGTATTTAGTCAGCCACCAATTGTGCAAGTTCTCCCACTTACAAAGATGAGAGAGGCCTGTAATTGGCATCATAGGTAGACCTCAACTATGAGAGACAAAATGAGAAAAAAAATCCAGACAATCACATTGGCTGATTTGGAAAGAATTTATTTGCAAATTATGGTGGAAAATAAGTATTTGGTCACCTACAAACAAGCAAGATTTCTGGCTCTCACAGACCTGGACCTTCTTCTTTAAGAGGCTCCTCTGTCCTGCACTCATTACCTGTATCAATGGCACCTGTTTGAACTTGTTATCAGTATAAAAGACACCTGTCCACAACCTCAAACAGTCACACTCCAAACTCCACTCTGGTGAAGACCAAAGAGCTGTCGAAGGACACCAGAAACAAAATTGTAAACCTGCTCCAGGCTGGGAAGACTGAATCTACAATAGGCAAGCAGCTTGGTGTGAACAAATCAACTGTGGGAGCAATTAGAAAATGGAAGACATACAAGACCACTGATATTCTCCCTCGATCTGGGGCTCCACACAAGATCTCACCCCGTGGGGTCAAAATGATCACAAGAACGGTGAGCAAAAATCCCAGGACCACACGGGGGGACCTAGCGAATGACCTCCAGAGAGCTGGGACCAACGTAACAAAGGCTACCATCAGTAACACACTACGCCGCTAGGGATTCAGATCCTGCAGTGCCAGACGTGTCCCCCTGCTTAAGCCAGTACATGTCCGGGCCCGTCTGAAGTTTGCTAGAGAGCATTTGGATGATCCAGAAGAGGACTGGGAGAATGGTCATATGGTCAGATGAAACCAAAATAGAACTGTTTGGTAGAAACACAACTCGTCGTGTTTGGAGGAGAGAGAATGCTGAGTTGCATCCAAAGAACACCATACCTACTGTGAAGCATGGGGGTGGCAACATCATGCTTTGGGGCTGTTTCTCCGCAAAGGGACCAGGACGACTGATCCATGTACAGGACAGAATGAATGGGGCCATGTATTGTGAGATTTTGAGTGCAAACCTCCTTCCATCAGCAAGGGCATTGAAGATGAAACGTGGCTGGGTCTTCCAACATGACAATTATCCCAAACATACCGCCCGGGCAACGAAGGAGTGGCTTCGTAAGAAGCATTTCAAGGTCCTGGAGTGGCCTAGCCAGTCTCCAGATCTCAACCCCATAGAAAACCTTTGGAGGGAGTTGAATGTCCGTGTTGCCCAGCGACAGCCCCAAAACATCACTGCTCTAGAGGAGATCTGCATGGAGGATGGGCCAACATACCAGCAACAGTGTGTGCCAACCTTGTGAAGACTTACAGGAAACGTTTGACCTCAGCCCTGGCCAACAAAGGATATATAACAAAGTATTGAGATGAACTTTTTATATTGACCAAATACTTATTTTCCACCATAATTTGCAAATAAATTCTTTCCAAATCAGCCAATGTGATTGTCTGGATTTGTTTTCTCATTTTGTCTCTCATAGTTGAGGTCTACCTATGATGCCAATTACAGGCCTCTCTCATCTTTGTAAGTGGGAGAACTTGCACAATTGGTGGCTGACTAAATACTTTTTTGCCCCACTGTATGTAAGAGTTTGAGATCCCTTTCTGTCCGTGAGACTGCCCTCAAGGTATTAACCAGATGGTATTATACCCCGTCAAGACTACATGTACTGTACCCACAAACGTCCCCCTTTATGTTTCCGGGGCTGTGGCCTCACAGGTACATTGGTTCACATGTTTTGGGCTTGCCCAACTAAATCCTTGGTTTGGCGTAGTATATCAGAGGTAGCTGCTTCCTTGGTAGGTGCCCCGGTACGTCTGACTATACAGTCCTGTTTACTGGGAGCTCATATCCCGGGGGCCACTGATGCTATTATGAGATTGATACATACCATTTGTATTGCCACTTTATGGGCTATTGCCCTACATTGGAAATCCACCACGGTACCCTTGGCCTCTGTTTTACATAGAGTTGCCGCTGTGATGCTCATGAAGCGTATTCATTATACTTTGCTGGACAAGATGCACTTGTTTGATAAAAAAAAATGGGAATCATGGAGGTTTCATAGACATTCATTACATGACTGAAAAGTATTCCGTTTGAAGGTTATTTGGCATATGCTATTGACAGATGTATCTTTCAACCCACGTTATCATTTACATTCCTCATGTACTTAAAATATTTTTTCTTTCTCTTTCCTCCCTATCTATCTTTTTTACGTATATGTACTCTTCTGAAATGTACTTTTCAAATGTGCCTTGTTATTAATGTACACATTACTTGAAACTGTACTGTTGTTCTACAGTCTACCCTTGAAAAATAAAACCGTTTGTAAACAAAAAACAAATGATACTCAATAAACCAATAGGTCATAAAAAGAGACAGAGAGAGCCGCAATCAATGGTCCCAGGTGGTGGGGATCCTGTAGTGGAAAGTGCTAACGCTTTTCGGGAGTCGAGCTCCCTTCCTCAGAGCTGACATGCTATACATGTGAGCTCTGTTTTTTATCACAATACATTATTCTTTCATCACAGTGATGCACGAGGAGAGTGTGCCCTCTTTTATTTTTTTTTTTTCTAGTACCAAGACTACTCTATCTTTGGAGGGCTGCACCTTAGAGAGTGACGATGTCCGGGATCCTGTGCCGTATGAAGATCTGAGCGCAGGTTTTTAGAATATAAAAGGGGTGGGTTTGTCAGAATACATGCCTTAATTCCTGAGTACAATTCATTCATTTATTTTCAATAAAATTGGAGTCTCGCTGGAAGCAGCAAAATGTTTTTTTTTGTGTTGAACGCAAAGTATGAAGCCAATATGTCTCTGTGTCTGCAGTCTACCTTTTCCTGTGGATGAAGATGAGGACGGAGCTGGTGGCGGAGAGAATGGCAGTGGAGACGCAGCAAACAGACGAGGACCTGGAAAAGGGTTTTCTGAGCAACAGAAGGATGGCATCCAGATGGTCAGGAAGATCATGTTCGCTCTGGAGGATGCAGACGGCCTGGACGAGGTTTACTCTTTCAGGTAAGACCAATTAAAGTATTTTTTTTAACTAGGAAAACCAGTTAATGGACGTAATTAGCATTTTAAAAATCTTTCCTTGTAATATGAAAGAAGCTATCATGCAGTCCTGGAACTGACACTCTTTAACTCCTTGCCTAACGGACACTTCTACCCCCCTTCCTGCCCAAGTGAAATTTTTATCATTTTTTTCACACAAATAGAGCTTTCTTTTGGTGGTATTTAATTGCCATTGGGGGTTTTAGTTTTTGCGCTATAAATTAAAAAAAAGCAAAAGATTTGAAGAAAGAAAAAGGTTTTTTTTTTTTTTCGTTTCTGTTATAAAATTGTGCAAACAGGTAATTTTTTCTCCTTCACTGATGTGCATTGATGAGGCTGTACTGATAGGCAGCACTGATGGGCACCGATGAGGTGGCACTGATAGGCAGCACTGATGGGCATTGATAGGCAGCACTGATGGGCATTGATAGGCAGCACTGATGGGCACCAATGAGGTGGCACTGATAGGTAGCACTGGTGGGTTTTGATGAGGAGGCACTGATGATGTACTGACTGGCGGCATTGACGGGCGACACTGCTGGGCAGCACGGACGGGCGACACTGCTGGGCAGCACGGACGGGCGACACTGCTGGGCAGATCTCCCCTGTCACATCTGCCGGTTATCGGCAGTACTTACTTTAGGTAAGGCAGCTCTCAAAGAACCCTGGGTGACCTGAAACCTTGGATGTGTACTTCAACACAAGAAAAACACGGTGCCAGAATTATCAATCGGGAAGTAGGGAAGATATCAGACACCATAATAATTTAAAGTACCAACACATTTTGGGGGTCTTAGAATGCTCCTTTATCAGAGTTTCTGGGTTGAAGTCGTTGCCTGTTCGCTGATGACTACAAAGCTGTGTCTGCACCACAAGATCATCCACAAGGCAACCTATTACCTACTGAAGCCTTTCTCAACCGGGGAGCCTTGAGGTTTCTTCAGGGGTGCCTTGGCAAAATGTCACACACACAGGTTACCATGGCAATTAAAGGGTAATTTCCCACATCTGTGGCTTTTTACATTGCAGTTAGTGTCTGTGTATAAATAGTCATTGGGTTTTTCGCTCTCACATGGATGCACTGAGTAGGCTAGATCAGCCTTTCTCAACCGGGGTGGCCAGGCACTCTGGGGTGCCTTGAGGTTTCTTCAGGGGTGCCTTGGCAAAATGTTTAAAAATTGCCCAAAACTTGTATACAAGCCAGCAGGTGGAACAAGCCGGCCTTTTAGTTACACAAAGCCACAGGTTTTCATTGCGCTACATTACGACCTTCTAGCCGCTGCCGTCCTGACAACCAATAACATCATCAGTTGATACGGAGGATGTCAGCTGCCTGCACAGCATCCTAGTTTGATCCTCCCCCGCCCCTCTCTGTCAGTGCTGGGGTCACATTAGCTCAGTGATGGAGAAAAACTGAGGGGGAAGAGAAACATAGGAATACTAGTCAGTACCAATGTGCAAAAGTGTGTTTGCTCTGGAAGAATAAATCATTGAACGATGGGTGTCCTACATGTGTGGAAGTTGCTGAATTATATAAAACTATTAGAATAGTTTTTCACATTTTAGAATGGGGTGCCCTTTTAAGATTATGGATAGACGCCAGGCAACCTTTAAAATTATGGACAGTCTTGAGGCACCCCATTCTTAAATGGAGTGCCTCAAGACTGCCCATAAAATTAAAGGGTGCCTTGATTGAAAAAAGGTTGAGAAACACTGGCCTACTGGATTGTACAGGGGGGCAGCTACAGCTGTCATTCTCCTGCAGTCAACCATCTTGTCAATCTGTCCATCGTTAAAGCGGAGTTCCACTCACTCTGTCAAAAAATAAATGTCAGCAGCTACAAAAACTGTAGCTGCTGACTGTTAAAAAACAGCCACTTACCTGTCCCTTGGTCCTGCGGTGTGTCCCCCGCAGCCCATTTCACTGGCAGTCCTGTATTCCAGGCATCGGCATCTTCAGTGTGGGTACCCGGATGTGGTAGCTTGCGGCTTCACAGCCGGGTACCCACTGCGCATGCGCGTGTAGTGCTGAGCTTCATGAATGGTCCTGTAGTCTTCTGGGACCTGTCACATGTCCTAAAAGACTACAGGTAGGGAGGACACCTCCCATTTCTGATCGCCTAGGCGATCGGACCACCACCGGAAGTGGGAGCGGGTACCTGTCAAATTCGGGTACCCGCTCCCCCCCCCCCCCCCAAAGGTGCCCCCCTTAATGGGGAGTGGGGGAGAACTTCCCCTTTTGTGTGGAGCTCTGCTTTAAGTTATTTCACAAGGTAGACAATTGGCAACTGGTAGGGTCATGGAAAGGAGTGGGGGACTCCAAAACTACAACCTTCACTAGGATCCAAATCTGCCTTAATCCATGTTTGGGCTGCCCAGATAGCATTGCCTAAATAAACAGTGGGGTTTATGTACTAAAGCTGGAGAGTCCAATATCAAGCTCACTTCTGCATAGAAACCAATCCGCTTCTAACCTCAACTTGTTCAATTAAGCTTTGGCAATAAATCCTGGAAGCTGATTGGTTTCTATGCAGACGTGAGCCTGATTTTGCACTCTCCAGCTTTAGCAAATAAACCCCAATGTGTGAAAATGAAAGGAAGTCGAACGTGGGTCTGTGTTATTGTATAGTGGAAGCTGAAAAAAATGTTTTCAGTTCAGTAATGGCCTGCTGAGAAAGAAAGAGTTGTGATCACATACAAGTCCTGACTTTTTTTTTTTTTTTTTGTAATTTCATTATAGCATGCTGATTGGAAGAACAGCGTACACCAATCAGAAAATCAGAGGCTTGTATTGCAGCAGTGTGTGTCATGGTGTGCATCAGCCACCAAACCTGACACAGATTTTGCCCGTCTGTCTTTTTATCAGAGTATGGTGCCTGCTGCCCCTTGCAGCCTATACTACAGCCTTGCAGAGGTCATACAGTTGGAGAAAGGTTTTCTGCTGCATAGAGCAGTGTTTCTCAACCTTTTTTCAGTCAAGGCACCCTTTAAAATGATGGATAATCTCAAGGCACCCTTTAAAATTCTGCACAATCTCAAGGCACCCTTTAAAATATGGATAATCTCAAGACACCCCATTCTGAAATGTAAAAAACTTTTCTATACCCATCCAGTACACCCAACGTTGAAGGTGATTTATTCTTCCAAAGAAAATACACCTTTGCATACTGGTACCGACTAGTATTCCAGTATGTCTCTCTATTTCTCTCCCTAAGTCTGCTAGTGTGACCCCAGTGCTGACAGAGAGGGGCAAACAAGGATGATGTCCATGCACTCCATGTTCTCCTTATCAACTGAGGATGTCATTGGTTGTTAGGATGCTGGCAGCTAGAAGGTCATAAAAGTGCACCATGAAAACCTGTAACTTTGTGTACTAAAAGGCAGGGTGGATCCACCTTCCGGCTTGTATACAATTTTTGCCAGGGCACCCCTGAAGAAGCCTGAAGGCACCCCTGAAGAAGCCTGAAGGCACACCAGGGAGTGCCTGGGCAGCCTGGTAGAGAAAGGCTGGCATAGAGGCACCCATACATTTTTATAACTATTAGAATCTCTGCACATGAGCAACACTGCAGCTATCTCTTTTTGTTCTTTTTTCTAAATGTATATTTATTTTTTACATTTTAACGTGAACTTGCAACAGTTTTACTTAACGTGGTTCTAAAGGCTGAAGGATTATTTCTTTGCATTAAGGTAAAATTCCCTCTGTGTTGTAGAATCTCCCCTCTGTATAATAATCTCCCCCAGCCCCCCATATTTATTTCGATACAATGCTGTGCCCAAGAGCAACGACTCCCTCACATTCTCCCTCCTCACGGGGCAGATTAATATCAGGAGCTATTGGAACTAAATTCTGTGACGAAGGAGCAGGGGGCAGTGCTGAACCACGTAGTCTGTCTTTGGATGCAGGTAGCGAGGCTCGGGATTGAGCTTCCAGTGGTGGCACACCAGGGAGTGCTGGCGGAAGATCCCCAACAAGAGGAGGATCGAAGCCTCTATGTGCTCTTCTGTTTCACAGAGCAGGTAAGTATAACATGTTTATTATTAAAAAAAACAAAAAAACAAAAAAAAAAACATCTACTTGTCCACACTCACCATCCACCATTCAGTCCCTGTTGCTCAGTTCTACTGATAGGAGTGAAGAGATGAAGCGCTGTGTATGTTCAAGGACTCTTCCCTCCTCTTCCTCCATGGCCGCGCTGGGTGTGTGAACAGCCAATCACTAAGCAGTAGGTCAGTCATGTGGGAAGCGGAGTGAATCACATGTTCACATACCAGGTGACAAAAATTGTAGTATGTAAAGTTGGGGAGGACATCAGTCAACTAAACCTTGTTGCTTTCACCTTTATCATTTGCTGTTCTCTTTTTATAGTTTGATTCAATTTGATGTGTGTAATGCCTGTGAAATGTGTTGGCCTTGAACCCTTTGTTTCTTGGGTCATTTTTACAATAAAGCATTGTTGCCCAAATGCCAGGGGCATGAGAGGTGACTTGATGTGTCATTTCTCTAGGCCAAAGGAACAGAGTCACAAGATATTCTGCTGAGAGCAAGATAAAAACTTGTGTATGGAATGGAACGTGTTTATGACAGCTAGTGACCTCACATTAGGAGATAAAAACCTGTTTAAAGCGGAGCTCCACCCAATGGGGCGGGGGGAAGGAGAAGTTCCGCTTTAAGGACTGCTCCCCCGCTCCCTATTAAGGATTGGCACCTTTGGGGGGGGGGGGGGAAGTGGGTACCCGAATTTCACAGGTATCCGCTCACACTTCCGGTCCGATCGCCTAGGCGATCGAAAACGGAAGGTGTCCTCCCTCCCTGTAGTCTTTTGAAAACACGTGACTGGTCCCAGAAGACTACAGGACCATTCATGAAGCGCAGCGCTACTCGCGCATGTGCAGTGGGTACCTGGGTGTGAAGCTGCAAGCTGTCACAGCCGGGTGCCCACACTGAAGATGCCGGTGCCTGGAATATAGGACAGACGGTGAAATGGGCTGCGGGGGACACACCACGGGACCGAGGGACAGGTAAGTGGCTGTTTTTTAAAAGTCAGCACCTACAGTTTTGTAGCTGCTGACTTTTATTTTTTGACAGGGTGAGTGGAACTCCGCTTTAAGGACGTCTAAGTTAGAAATCCTTAAGTCTGGAGGAGATGAGAAGAGGTTTTGGGGTAGATAAGAAGCAAAAGTGTGACTTTTCAGATAACGAATATGGTGTTGAACGTGACTCTGTTATCCTCGCGGAACCTTCTGCTAGCTCCTCCTGTGGTGTGTGTGGCGCCACCTACTATTGGACAGCGTCCAGAAAATGGGTTTTAAGGCGGAGGTCCGGGCAAGACCAGTAGAAGCCCCCCTTAGAGGCCAAAGGACACTCTGACGCTGGGATTTTTGCCAAGGCTATATGGGCTCATCGATTGGTCGCGTTTATGGCTTACCCGTGACCCCCTGGGCAGTGTGGTTCCGATGGGATTTGTTCCTTCCCCTCTTCACATAGCTTTGGTAATGTATTCTCTATGCTGTGACGCTGTCAGATGATGTGTCTATTTCATGCTGTAATGCTCACACTTACTGGTGTGTGTTATTATGCAGATTGTGATGACTATAAGATATATCCTCCTGTGTGTCATTTCATAAAAGTGGAGATTTTGACAGTGCAAGAATATTGCAGTTGGATTCTGTTATTTCTTGGAGTGCGGGTGAATGCTATGATGTGCCAGGGCAGGTATTCATTTGGTAGATGGTCTTTCACATGCGTATGTAATGTAATGGTTTAAATGCTGATTAAAAGGTATCTGCATGACTACATGTTGATTGATCGTGTATAAGACTTGTTTTTAGTTATTGCACCCAGCATTTCTATTATAATGTGTTTTACTTTTTTTTTTCTTTCTTTTTTCTGGATTTCAGGGACAGTTTGGAACAACTTTCCATCTTTAAGAAGATAGAGAGGAGGCCTATGCCGTGGCCCTGCCAACTTACCATCGGCTCTAAAATTTCCATACGCATTGTGGGATACAAATCTGTAAGTATATCTCCTGACTGGGTGGAAGTGCCTGCTCTAAACCAGTGCTGTGACAGTTTGATGTTTATACACTGAAAGCAGTGAATGTGACTTTCACCAAACATTCACTGGTGGTCAGTCAGTCACTGTCATTTAAAACACATACACCTGGAAAATTTAGCTGCAGTGAATGTCAAATTTACCGCCTTACAAATGTGCGCCTTCATTATGATCTTTTTTTTTTTTTATAATTTTTTTTTTTAAGCAATCTGTTGTTTTTGCTTTCAGCATTTATCATGTATAAAATATACTGTTAATATTAAAGTAAAGTTAATATTAAACCTTTTTTTTTTCCATTTTGGATTCAGCAAGGGAGGGTTATAACCCCTGTCAGATTTTTTTTGTCACCTGCCGAGATTTCCTTTCATTTCCCATCCCATAGACAAACAGGAATTGAGAGGAAATCCCTACAAATTAACAGAATTCCTTGGGCGGCCCCCAGGTCACCAGAACTAGTGTTCCCATTGGAAAATTTCCCCTCTATTACTTTTCTGGAGACAACACACATTTTAGGATTTTTTTATACTTTCAATGATAATGGTAAACAGGACAAATAGAGAAGGCGAATCGCCCTGATAGGAGCACAGACAACAATACAAATTGACAAGTGTTCTCGTCCCTCTCCACACTTTGCCTTTAGTTATACTTTAACCACTTCCCGTCCGACCCATGTATATAAGCTGTATGTAAACAGCTGGATGGGAGCAGTGCAGGGGCGGGTGGCCATTTATAAACGTCCTCCCTGCTTGTGCGCTCGCCTCCAGACACAGTGGAACACCGATCGTTGGGGCGGGACCTCTGTGTGAGGTCCTAATCATGTGATCATTGATTGGCCAAATGGTGATCACATGAATAGTAGTAAGCAAGATGTCACTTCTGACATCATTGCTTACTACGTGTGAAATCTGAATGATCACAGAGGTCACATGGTACAAGGCTATTCACAACAGCCTTGAACCATGTGACAAGCTGTGACCAATCACAGCTCACATAGTATTTCTCAATGGCTGCATTCTTGCAGCCAGAGAGAAGGAGTAATGATTGCTTTTCCAGCCTTTATGGGTGTAAAAGCAATCAGTGTAAAAAAAAAAAAAAAAAAAAAAAAAATTCATAATCCCCCCACATGTAATACAGTGTCATTATGGTAGGGTGATAGTATATTAAAAAAAAAAACATAAATAATAATGAAATAAAATAAAAATGTAAAAGAAAAATGTTTGGTTATAAACTAATTTTGGGTTTATTTTTTTTTTTTTTTTACTAAAAGATAACTGAATACATTTTGGCCAAGATTTATGAAGAAAGATTATTTATTTGCAAAATGTTATAAGAAAAACACTTTTCAAAAATGTATGGACTTTTTCATTTATATAGCAAAAAAAAAAAAAAAATCCCAGTGGTGAATAAATGCCACCAAAATAAAGTTTTATCTGTCTCAAAACAATGCTACAAAATTCATATGGGTACAGTGTTGCATGACCGCGCAATTGTCATTCAAAGTGTGATAGCGCTGAAAGCTGAAAATTGGTCTGGACAAGAAGGGGGGGGGAGGAAAGTGTCCGGACTTGAAGTGGTTAAATAGTGCCCACAAAAACAGTGATATGATCCTTTTGAGGATCCCAAAGAACAGTGATAAGAATAAAGCGACAAAACTTCTATACTGCAACTAATTTGTTGCTATAAGAAATACTCCCAAAGTTTAGGTGTTCACAGTGAACATAAAGAAAGATGGGTGGAAGTGAAAAATAACAATAAACAGTAGAAACTGTGTAGATGAAAATAAAGCCACAAGGCTTTTTTGCAACCCAACTCTATTACTGAAATATATATATTCTGCTGAAACTTTACGGACACAAGTAGAAAAAGTGATGAATAGAATACACGTGAAATCACAGCAAAATTGTGACCCCACTGTGTGTGGTATATTCATAAATAGGAGTTTATTTTTCACTTAGAAACAACGCAGCGCCAATTAGTCTTATAATTATTATTTTTTTTAATTCCAACTGGTCCTTCGCTTTAACTGCTGTACATAGGGTATATCCAGGGATGTACAGTTGCAAGAAAAAGTATGTGAACCCCTTGGGATTACGTGGAGTTTTGCATGAATTGGGCATAAAATGTGCTCTGAACGTCATCTAAGTTAGAACAATAGAAGAACACAGTCTGCTGAACATAATACTACACAAACATTAGATGTTGCCATGGTTTAATTGCACATAACATGTAAACATTCACAGTGCAGGGAGGAAAAAGTATGTGAGGCCCTAGCTTAATGACTTCTCCCAGAGCTAATTGGAGCCAGGAGTGAGCCAACCTTGACTCCAATCAGTGTGATGATATTGGATGTGTTGCTGACAGCTGTCCTGCCCTTAAAACACACACACCTGTTTTGGGTTTACTGGTTTCAAGAAGCACTGTCTGATGTGAACCATGCCTCGCAGAAAAGAGCTCTCAGAAGACCTACGATCAAGAATTGTTGACTTGCATGAAGCTGGAAAGGGTTACAAAAGTATCTCCAAAAGCCTTGATGTTCATGTGTCCACGGTAAGACAGACTGTCTACAAATGGAGAAAGTTTAGCACTGTTGCTACTCTCCCTAGGCGTGGTCGTCCTGTAAAAATGACTGCAAGAGCACAGCGCAGAATGCTGCATGAGGTAAAGAAGAATCCCAGAGTGTCAGCTAAAGACCTACAGAAATCTCTGGCACATGCTAACATTTTTGTTGACACATCTACAATAAGGAAAACATTAAACAAGAATGGAGTACATGGGAGGACACCACGGAGGAAGCCATTGCTGTCCAAAAAGAAGATTGCAGCACGTTTGAAGTTTGCAAAAGAGCACCTGGATGTTCCACAGCACTACTGGCAAAATATACTGTGGACAGATGAAACCAAGATTGAGTTGTTTGGGAAGAACACACAACACTATGTGTGGGGAAAAAAAGGCCCAGCACACCAACATCAAAACCTCATCCCCACTGTGAAAACATGGCGGAGGGAGCATCATGGTTTGGGGCTGCTTTTGCTGCCTGGACGGATTGTTGTCATTGATGGGAAAATGAATTCCAGAGTTTATCAAGACATTTTGCAGGAAAACGTACGACCATCTGTCCGCCAACTGAAGCTCCGCAGAGGATGGGTGATGCAACAGGACAATGACCCAAAGCATACAAGTAATTCAACAAAACAATGGCTGCAACAGCACAGAATACGCCTTCTGGAGTGGCCCAGTCAGAGTCCTGACCTCAACCCCATTGAAATGCTGTGGCATGACCTTAAGAGAGCGATTCATACCAGACATCCCAAGAATATTGCTACACTGAAACAGTTTTGTGAAGAGGAGTGGTCCAAAATGACTCCAGATCATTGTGCAGGTCTGATCTGCAACTACAGGAAACGTTTGGTTGAGGTTATTGCTGCCAAAGGAGGGTCAATCAGTTATTAAGTCCAAAGGTTCACATACTGTTTCCTCCCTGCACTGTGAATGTTTACATGTTATGTGCAATTAAACCATGGCAACATCTAATGTTTGTGTAGTATTATGTTCAGCAGACTGTGTTCTTCTATTGTTGTGACTTAGATGACGTTCAGAGCACATTTTATGCCCAATTCATGCAAAACTCCACGTAATCCCAAGGGGTTCACATACTTTTTTTCTTGCAACTGTATAATAAGGCAGTCCATACAATAACCAATATTCTTTCCTGCAATCACAGGTTGCAGGATAGAAAATTGCTTGTCTCACCCATCAACACAGTCAATCCCTCCCACGGTGCTTTTGTGTTCTGCTGCTGGTGGGGAGCCTTTCCTGCCAGCAGAACACAGCGATCGCTGCTGGTGGCTATGTTCGCTAGCAGTGATTGCATAAAAAAATCCGACAAGCTGGTTATACTGAAGTTGATGGATTGACTTCATTATAACCAGCCTACCCATAGATGGATCGAATCTGGTCCCTGCTAAACCGTCTGAGATTTGATCCATCTATGGCCGG